GGGCGGCGGGCCGCGTCGGCCGGGCATGGCAGCGTGGAGCCCGGCCGCGGCAGCGCCTTTGCTCCGCGGGATTCGCGGGGTGAGCGCGGGCGGGGCCCAGGGCTACTCTCTCCGGGGCAGGAGCTGCGGAGGGACCGCGGGGCTGGTCGCTGTCGGGGCTCGAGGATGGGCTTTCTGCGGGCGCGGCGCAGGGCCCGGTGCAAGTCCCGGGGAGGGCTCCCCTTTCTTTCTCTCATTCATTCATTCGTTCACTCAGTGGTAACGGGCATTTGGGGAAGTATCAGGCCTTGGTGCGCTCTGGGGGAGCTCCTGAGCTGGGTGGACGTTGAGGTTCAGGGGCACAGACACGTGAACATTCATAATATAGCGGGCACAGGAAAAAGAAATGTTGATTTATGGAGCCAGAGACCTAGGAGTTATAGCCCGGAGTTGGGACGTGGGTGCAGGGGACTGCGGAGGGGTATGGGCCCTGGAAATGTCGGCCAGACCTCTGACCTTGACCCTCTCCAAATTCTGAACCCGGAGTAAAAGCCCAGCAGAGAGCATTCCCCACACGCTCTCCTGTTCTCTCCCCACTTCTGATTCATCCTTTGCCTGATCTCACCCACTTCTTTCTCTTTCCTCTCATTTTCCTTCTCCCCTGCTGGTTTTGAACCTGCCTCCCCCATGCATGAAGAGGAATTCTACCACGCTGTGACTTTCAGCGTGGACAGCGGGCATCTGGGGGTTTTGTCAGCAGATTGTTCCGCTATAGGCCGCTTCCCACTGATCTGCGAAGATGCAAGAGAGGCTTTTCCCAAGGATTCTGCAGTGCTAACCACCCTCACCCCTCAGTGACTGCCGATTCTGCCTGCCATCTGGTTACCCTCTCTTTGCCCCCAAGGTTGTGTCCCCAGAAGCAGCTCTACCCCCACCCCAACCACTACCCATCCCCAGCAATGCTACCAAGGCTCACAGCAAGTCTAACTTCAGACCTTTCTCCTGACCTGCATATTTTTTTTTTTTTTTCTCAGTGGCTGGCCGATCTTCCCTGCGTTTTAACTGCCTGCCAGACTTCTTTCCCCATACCCAGTAGGCGCGCCCCCAATAGAGTAGTTCTTCCCCACACATTGATCCATTCATTCATCACCAAGTGCTTCCAAAGGCCTGCCCTGGAGCCTGCTGTGACAGAACAGACTCAGTCCTGGCCTTTAAGACCAGTTGGGGAGAGAGCCAGTGCACAGCTCATTTTCAAAAAGGTACTCTGACATTCTATAACACAGGACCCTGCTCTTGGCCATCAAGAAAGGCCTAAGGATGGGCAGGACTGAGGGGTGAAGGGCTGGTACCTTCAGCACCAGCATTCGCTGATTAGCCCTGGTGTTCTCCCTCCTACCTGCCACCCACGTGCAGTCAGGGCCAACGCCTGGCACTTCTTCCTCTGTAATGCCTCTTCCTTGGGCGTCTTTCCTGACTACCTTCGTGAGGTTGTGTTTCCTGCAGGTTACTTTGGTACCAAGAGCTCAGGACATGTCACCTGGGGTCACATTACCAGTCTAACAAAGTCCAAAATCTTTAGCTGGCATTCAAGGCCTGCATACTCTATTTTCAGTCTCCCTTTACAGCATGTGCTCAACCCAGCCAAGTGGCTGCCAGGCTGGTTTTCTGCTCCCTTGCTCCTAAGCATTGAAACGTGTTCCATCAGAAGCCCTGGCTCCCTATGGTAGCCATCGTGGAAGGGGGGTGTTGTTGCCATTGGCAAGTAATGCAAAGATGTTCCTTCTCCAGGTTGTTTAATCGATCTCTGCCTGTTCTCCCCAGTGAGAATTAGTGAGCAGTGGACTGTGAGGTCACTCACAGTAGATGGTTAACAGGGACCTGGCAGGGTGGGTCTGAGGCAGGCTGCCCAGGCCCCCTCCTGACTCTGCAGCTTACTAACAGATCCAACCATGGCCACGTTACTTAATGCCTCAGTTTCTCCCTGTGAAACTGTCATCCTAGTGTTGTCTCACAGTATTATCACGAGGAAGGAGTTAAACATCTACTGTTAGGTTTGGGGCCTTGTTGTCTCTATAGTCAAAGTGAGTTAATTACAGTTATCTCCCTCACCCCCAGGAATTTTATTCTGCATCTTGGGGAGCTTAAACAGACACCTGACACCACATCATCCCTCTGACTAGGCCGTGGCAGGGGCCTGCCTTGCAGGGGAGTGGCAGGCGGGGCCTGCACAGTGGCAGCCCATTGCCACGGCGTCATCCTGCTCTGCCATGACCCTCTTGTCTCTGTTCTGTGGCAGCTTCCTTTTCTCCACTGTGTCCACCGGATGTTTGCCTCCCAGACTGAGGGGGAGCTCAAAGTGACCCAGATTCTCAAAGAAAAGTTTCCTCGAGCTACAGCTATCAAAGTCACCGACATTTCAGGTAGGGTTTCCTCATCCTTTTCATGGAGCTTTGGTAGGACTTTGCCCTGTGGAAGGGCAGAGGGCAAGGGGCTTGGAGGGGGGAACTTCCACCAGTGTCTTCTCTATACATGTTGCTTTTGGATGGTTTGAGCTCGGCTCTCCCACCTGATGAAGTGGAGCTGGGGATTCAGAAACATCAACAGAACACCGTGTGGGGACAAGGACTAGCTGGGAGGACTTAAGGTTGCCAGCCTGACCCAGCTCACACAAGGTCCCTTTTGCCCCAGAGCTCAGGCCCACAGTCTTTCTTTGGACTGCAAGATGGACCCTCCTCTAATTTCCCCACGTTCTTCTGACGCCCTAGAATGTCAGTGCTGGAGCACACTTTCCAACTGCTTTACTTTCCCCAGGAGGAGACAAGCACAGAGAGGCCGGAGGACCTGGCCAGGGCCTCACAGAGAGGCTCACAGGAACCAAGACACAGGGCAGCCTCCATCCTAAGTTACCAGCCCCAGCCAGGCCCTGCCTTTCTCAGGGAGTCGCTGGCCCCTCAGCACTTCTGGCCGGCTGTATGTTAGGAGCAGGCTGGGGAACCATCTTCTGCACCCACTGGGTGGGGCAGATAGGCCCTTTATCCAGACACACACTGGAACAGTCTAGCCATGGGCGGCCAGATAGGCGTCAACCTGAATCCTACACACTCTGACGTGGTCTTCGCCACAAGGGCTCACTGACTTCACTGAGAATATAACATTTACAAGGATTTGGGAGAAAGTTTAGAAAGTAGATTTTATTCTGGAAACTATAGGAAATTAATCAATCTAGAGATGTGTTAGAATGGTAGTTCAGGTGAGGGCTCTGCAGGGGTCCCCAGGCAATGCTGAGCTCTTGTCACCAGCCCTGTACCAGCCCCCAGGCCCAGGGCAGAGCTGGAACTAGACCCCCATTCTGGCTCTGCCCGGCCCTGGATGAAGTACAGAAAGGAAATGGAGACTAGGAACCTGGGGTTTAACCAAAACTGGGACTCCTGGCAAGAATTATAAGAGAAGCAAAATAAAGCCTGTTGAGTCGATTGCACTTCTCATACGATGGCCTGGTGTTAACAGTGCAGGGGACGTTTTCTTGCCTGTGCCGCTTAATGCTAGAGCAGTTTATCATCAGTCATCACCACATGGGGACAAAGCTGGGGCAGGGGGTGGATGGGTTCTTGACAGCTCTGCCTTGAGGGCTTCTCCAAAATGCTCTCTCCCCCAAAAGCCTGGGAGGAAAGCTTGGATGCTGTGCTGTAGACCAGGAGGTGCCAGCGGGAGCCCGAGCAGCTCCACATCCAACATGTTTGGTGTGTTCCTGGCTCTCTCATGCTTCCTTGTTCCTTTCTTTCCTTTTGGATAGGATTACAAACACAGTTTTCAAAGCAAGTTTTAGTGTATTGTTGCATTTTTTAAAATACTGATTGCTGGTCCTTTGGAAGGTGGAACACTGAAATTCAGTCCTTCCCACCCTCTTCCATGGCACTTGTTGGCCTAGTAAAAGGAAATACTCTACATTCCCTAGGTTTCTCTGTGCTGTGTGTCACAGAGAATTTCTCTCCTGCCCACAAGTGATAATCCTGGGTAGTGCAGCTGCCTTGCAAAAGGAAGAGCACATCTTGAATTGAGGCAGCCTGGCAGGAGGACAGTGTGATCAGACTGGAAGTCATGATCCTTTTCCAAGTCTAGTGACTTTCCTTTGTGCTGAAGAATAATATTCAGACCTTCATTGGAATATTTGGTACTTCAAGGACATATGGGACTGAGGCTGCCGTAACTTAGTAATTGAAACGCTTTTGAACCATGTTTATTTTAGGAGGCTGTGGGGCAATGTATGAAATTAAAATCGAATCAGAAGAATTTAAGGAGAAGAGAATTGTGCAGCAGCACCAGATGGTTAATCAGGTCAGTAGAGGGAGCAGTGCTCCTGCGCCGCTGGTCTTCAGCATCTGAGAGGCCTGCCCAGCAGGGGCGGTGTTTTACCGTCAGTCCTAGGAAAGAATAGTACAGAACCACAGTCATGCAAGCAGGATTCGAGACCTGAGAAAAATATAATCTGGGACTATCTGGAATCAGATTGTGGGCAGATATGAATTTTATTTTAAACTGAAAATGAGCTGCTCAGCAGTTATTTTGCACTTCCTTGTATAACACTACCAATGCTTACTGTTACTGTCACATACTCAATAATAAGTTTTTGTAGATTTGAGGGGATTTTTTAGCCTTTCTTTGGGACTGCTCTAAAGGTGGGTAAATTGATGCCTGGCATGATTGAGAATGGTTCCAGCTGCCCCAGTCCCAAGGACAGAACATTTGGGGCCTGGAACGTCATGTTTTACCAGACTAAGGCCCAGCTGATACATTATCCATGCTTCTTTTAATTGGAATTTATACCAGCTTTGACCCTTGGGCCTGTTTATACCAGCTTTGACCCTTGCCCCTTGCCCCATCAGTGGGTGTGTTTGACATCATTCTGGAAGGTCTTGCACATTGTGCAGTAGTTTAATTTTTATAAAGCATAGCTCTGGTCACAAGAGTCCCTTCTGCAGGCTCTTCCCCATCAAGTTCAAGTTTCCTAGACTGCTGTTTGAGGATTTCCCTGTCCTCTGCACACATGCTCCCAGCTGGGTGCTGCCTGCTGTTCTCTCTCTCTCTGCATCTAGTCCTTTGCCCAGACCACCACATCTCACATGTGGGTCATGCAGTCTCAACACTAGGCACTCACAGGAGGCTGAAGCAGAGTGGGCCAAGGAGGGAGGGAGTTCCCTGTGCCTGACCTTCACCTTGAACAGAGATCTCCACAGCCACAGCACATTGCTGGGGTGCTAATGCTATGTTTAAATGTACTGATGTGATCATGGGCACTTTCAGATGATTTAATTTGGGGATGTTGGCTGTGGTAGAGTCACCTGGGAGGAATGACAGTGAAACATCTTTAAGAGCAAGTCTGTTGGCCAGTAGGAGTCTGAGCTGGGACCTAGAGTTGCCCTGCTCAGGACAGGTGTTGGGAATCAAGGTTATGACAGACACAGGAGGAGCCAGATCTGGGAGTGAAGGAGAAGGCAGTGGGGTGACTAGACTGCAGTCACCAGGGTCTGCTCCCACCTCCGTGCTTCCTGAGCAAGTCATGTCTTCAGAAGTGAGGTGACAGTGGGAGTAGGTGCCTGGTCCAGATGCCCAAGCTGTTGGGGTGGGAGGCCTGGTGGGCCTGGGCCAGGGGAGAAGTTGATCTTGCCTAGACATCCTTGTGCTTAGTAACATTCATCCTGGTGCTGTAGAACGGGACTCTCAGCACACAAAGGCCCTGAAAAGGCCACCATGGCCATCTGATGCTGGAATCCCCTCCCAAGCTTCTCATCAGACAGTCCCTGTTTGATTCCCAGGGTCGGTGCACCTCCTGCCAGCATGGCTCATGCCTGCTGCACTCTCAGGAGTGGACTCTCTTCCTCTGGGGCCTGCCAATGTGTGGCCCAACCTCTCCTGTGTCCACGGTTCCTTGGCCTCCTCTTTGGGAGTACTCACTGGGCATTTGCTTTGGGCTGGGCCCCGGTGAGGCAGGATGATGAGTGTCCCTCCCAGGAACACCTCTCCACCCACCCTGCTCCCACCCATCCTGCGGAGGCACCAGCAGGGGTGGACTAGGGAGTGGCATGAGCACCATGTTACCCTCTGGGTTGGATGGAGGTGGGCTCTGAGCCTCGCCACCCTCATTGCACCTGGCATATGGAGGTGTTTGGTAAACACCTGTTGCCCACTCCCCTCCTCCAGCCTCTTTCCTGTCTGCTGCCCCATCACCCCCTCTAAGGGTGCCTCTGCCTTTCCTTCCCCTGCTCAGAGCCCTTCAGTGGGTCCCCAGTTGCTCAGAGTCTAATCCACCTGCCCTAGCCTAGGATTACAGCTCTGTGAGGCCTGCCTCAGTCTTTCCCCGCACACACTTGACTCAGGCCAGGCTCCCCTGAGAACCCTGCGTGGTTCCCAGCCTTCCTCACGTTGCACTCCTGGGCTGGGTGCCTTGTCCCTCTTGCCTGTTCCACTCCCACTGTCCAGCTCTGGGGCTGCCACCTCCACAGGGCCCTTCTCCTCCCACTGCAATGGCTAGTGCCGTGGAAACACCCCTCCTGTGATAGCCACAGCAGGGCCAAGCTGGCCCATGGCTGACAGCACCCGTCACTACCACCCTGTGGTCTGTTTTGTGTGGACTTGTGTTCCTTTCTCTTGCCTCATTCATCATTTTCCCAGACCTTTGCCTCTGTGTCCTCGGCACCCAGCATAATGCCGTGGGCACAGCAGGTGCTATCCAAGCGACATCTTATTACCCATTGGACTTTGGCCAATTCACTTCTCCCACCAGGGCCCCAGTTTTCTTCAACTGTAAGGTGACCCAGGTGATCGCTGAGACCCTCTGTAGCCGTAAGATGCTGTGGGGTGTGTGGGGAGCCTCGGGGCGCTACACACACAGCAGGGAGAGGGCGTTGGGAAGGAGAAGTGGGGCAAAGCCCAGAGTTTCCTCTGTCCAGGGCCTGTCATGTGAAGGTGTGACTGGGCCCTCATCCAGCCAAGGAGGCTTTAAGGAGGGGAGGCTGGCAGTGGCCCAGGCATGGCCAAGGGACAGTCTCTGGGGGAGCATTTCATGCCAGCAGAAAGCAGAGAGCAAGTGGCCCTGGGGCTGTGTGCTCTTCACCCAGCAGTGATATGAGGCTTTTTTCAAGGACATTTCTGCTTGTCTGCAGAGTTGAGGGGCTTACATGGGAATATGGAGAAGGCGGGAGTAGGGAGGGGGTTGTGGTACAGTCCGATGGAGCAGCTCATTGGCTTCCAGCACAACAGCAGCTCCTGGCATCAGGGCCAGTCAGGAACACGATGGGAACCAGGTGTGGCCAGGACCTCAGGACACCTGGGTTTACATCCTGATTCTGCTACTCACTTGCTTACTGACTTTGGACTAGGGGTAGACTCTATCTATTTCTTTTTTATAAAATAAGGTGATAGGACTAGATTATGTCTAAGGATCCTCCTGACTCTATAAACCTGACCACGTGTATTAGGATTCTTTTTGTTGTAAGTGACAGAGACCAAGTTAAAACTAGCATAACAAACAAAGGGGCCATGGAATGAAATTATCTGGTTTCTGGCATATCTAGATTCAGGATCTTAAACAAGTTCATCTGCTTGCTCTCCTTCATATTCTCTCTCTCTCTCAGCTTTCAGCTACTCTGTGTGTTGACCTCATTTTCTCCTACTAGAGATGGACTTTCTCTCCTTGCTGGGGAACATGTCCCCCAGCCACCTCCAACTGACATTATTGCAGCACAGTGACCCAAGAGACAAGACGCCACTCTGAAAAATCACAGGGGAGATTCTGATTGGCCCAGTTTTGGTCATGTGCTACCCCCAGGCCAGTCAGATGCTGGGCCAGGGGCACGTAACTACCTCAGCACTGGGCAATTGGTCATCCCACCAGAAGTATACAATTAAAGTAGGAAAGGAACTATTCCCCAAGAGAAGGGAGATTGCTGAACAGACTGGAAAAAAGAATGTCCACCCTATGTTGATTATCACATTCTGGCTTAATATAAAAGGACTTTGTCTCCTTCTCTGTACTGATGATTAACTTGGAGATGTCTAAGCCTCCTTGAGGTCCTGTAACCTCTCTCCTGGCACTGCAGGGGATATGTATCTATTTGACTGTGCTGGCTCATTCAGATTTGGGCCCTGATACTTTGAAGACTTAAACAAGTCTCATAATTACTTTGTGATTTTATTTCCTGCTTTAAAGTAAAATTGGGGAGTTTGTGCTAATTGGTGTGGTTTTTAAAGAACAGCTGCTCATTGCTCGAAATAGCAAACACACAGAAAATAGCCTAAAAGTTCATCATTAGGAGACAGGTTGAAAAGTTAGAATACATCCATACAATGGAATACAATGCTGATGCAAAAAAAGAATGAGGACACGCCATGCGGAAAGATCTCCAAAACAGATGGTTGAGGGAAACAGCGATGTATTTGAAATGTTAGCCACTGGTGTTTTTAAAAGGTAGTGGGTGGAATATGTATTCATACTAGCTTGAATATGTATTTTTAAGTCTGCAAAAATACACAAAAAACTAACGACAACGGTTCTGTATTTTGGGATGAGGTGGAAACTGGGGGGATGGAGGACAGGTGTCAGGTGGGAGTCTTTTTATACCTTTGAGTTTTAAGCCATGTTATATATCATTGATTTAAAAAAATAAAAAATTGTTTTCCAAAAAAAAAGGAAAAATTGCTTCGATGAAGCCTATGGAAAGTCTCCTTCAGATGTAGACCTATATAAAAACGCTCTCAGAGAATTTCTGTAATCAATGTGAAGTGCACAAAGAGTGACATTGCTCTTTTACTTAATAGGCACTAAAAGAAGAAATCAAAGCTATGCACGGATTGCGGATATTCACCTCTGTCCCCAAACACTGACCACGCCTGGCTACGTAGATGCTGCTACTGAAAACCTCCGTGAACTTGACTGACACCGTTCTGCCCTAGGCATTTGCCAGAGAGTTTATCTGTTTTGTTCATAGACATTTCCATATTATAATTATAGAAAATATGTTATCTATTTAGGTGTTAATTAAAGGCAACAGAAAACTGAAGCTTTTATAGGGTCTTTAGTAATGCTTCAAGTTCCTTTATTTCAGAAGTAGTGTCCTTTTATGCAAAGTGGTGTCATCTTGGACAGCGGCTGTCCTGCTGCCACAGAGACAGGATGGAGTGCCAGCGTTTTGTCTCTTGAAGAAGTTGTCTCATTTCTCCCCTCTGTGAAACTGCTCAGGCCCTTACTCTCACCGAAAGAAAGAAGATCCTTTGCTTCTGCTGTTCCTTTATCACTCTCTTTCCTTTCTCCTCCAAACTTCTTATAAGAATGATCTCGGACCCTCAATTTCTTACACCCTGGAGTGGACTCTGAGGACTTGCAGGTGCGTGGATCTGGGTCCTCTTCCTGTGTTAGAAGATCCCCACCCTCTACACCTGGGTGGGAGCAGAGCCCACCTCCTCCCACCAAGAAGCCAAAAAAGCTTGCTTTCCCAGCCTCCCTTGCAACTAAGGCACAGGCAGATAGTCTAGACCCCGCCAATCACACGGACCTGCCCAGGACTTTGGGAGCAAGTGGCACTGAGAAGCAGGGGCAGTGGGGCGTCCACCCCAGCAGCCCGGGCGACAGCGGCTGGTGGTCTGGGTGGCATTGGTGGCAGGAGAGTCAGTGTTACAAGCTGTTGTCTGTACCCATGGTAGTGGTCACAGTGTCTGGGTCTGCAGCATGATTTGGGTTCCAGCCACAGAGCCGTTTTATTCCTGCGTATTTTCAGAGGCTGTTTCACCTGTGTTCCCAGAAATTCTGTGCTCACTCCCGTATCCTTTCACTAAGTTCTTTTATGCTCACATCAGTCTGGTCAATGTCTGTCACTTATAGAGAGCCTTGATGGATTCGCCACCCCCTTGCAGCCCTCCTGCCCCCACCTCTACCGAAGAGCTCTCTGAGAGGTCACCACATCCACTGCCACTCTCAGTCCTTGGCATCCCAGTCACTGCAGCAATGGGAGGTTGCCAACCTGCTCTTCCTCAAACTCCTCCTTTGTCTTTCACGGAACTAACCACCAGGGAAGTCATTGGGCACAGTCAGTTCTGAAGGCTCCTCCCTAGAAATGAAGTATGCAGGTAGAACAACCTTGGCCCCAGATTTTTGGGGCAGCACAAATTTCAAATATTCTGTCCCCATTTTGTAGTTTTAAAATGTTCTCTATCTACACAGTGGGGGTGGGAGGGGTTGGTATCCTGCCAGGTCAGAACTGCCTCTTACATGGAACAGAGTCACTCAGTTGTATCCGAGCTGAGAAGATGGTACAAAACTTAAGAATTGTGCGTGAGAGCCCAAGCCACCTCTGAAAGAGCAGACACCCCAGAGGACATCTTCTGAGTGGTGTGGTGAGGAAACACCTAAGACTGGAGTCTCAGAGGCCACCAGGAAGGTGGTAGTCAGCAAGATTAGAGAGACCACAAAATTAAGTACATGTCCATTACGTGTGTGGAGCCCAATTCCACACAAGTAACAGGTAACCTAGTTACTCATGTGGAACCTTAAGTCCTCCTCTTAAGGGTAGGCTCAACATAGCTGCTTCTGAAGAACAGAATAGGGCGGAAGTGACGTGTGCAGTTTCAGAGACTAGGTCAGAAAAGGCACTGTGCCTCCTTTCTCCCTTGGGCTGCTAGTGCTGGGGGGAGGTAGCCGCCATGTTGTGATGACACTCAAGTAGCTTCAGGAGAAGTCCATGTGGTGAGAGACTGAGGCCTTCTGCCAAGACAAGAGCCATGTGGGTGAGCCATGTTGGAAGTGGACACTTTGGCCGCAGTCCAGCCTTCAGAAGACTGCAGGCCCAGCTGACATCTTGATTATAACTGGAACCAGAATCGCCCAGCTAAGCTACTCCCCAATTCCTGACCAACAGAAGCTGTAGGATATTAATGTTTGTTGTTTTAAGCCACTAAGTTTTGGGGTAAATTTTTATGCAGGAATAGATAACTAAGATATTTGTGCATTACTGGAAGGACACTGGGGCATCTCACATATTGAAGGGTTAAAAAAAGCCACACTGCGGAAAGGACAGGGAATAGCTAAATCTCGGGAACACCAACACCACCAGGTCTTCTCTTCCTGTCTGTTTCTGCAGATCAGCTTTATTATCTCTCATTCTAGATTGGTGTCCACTGTATAGTGGTGGCTTGAGTGCCAGTAGCTCTTTATTTTTATATCTTAATGTCCAGGCCCTGAGAAGGGCAGACTTTCCTTTCAAGCTCCAGATGGAAGAATGCCAGGGAAGGCCTCTGACTGGCTCCTCTTGAATCAGGAGCCACCCTGGACTGAAGTCCAGGGGTCACATAAATTGGAAGCCTCTAGCTAGACTCTTGTTCAGAGTAAAGGGAGGAGAAGTTACCAGAAGAAGTCGGGGTTCTGTTCTCCAAAGAAGGAGCTGGGAACAAGACAACAGATGTTCTCAACCGGAGGAAAAGGTAAGTAGAGCTTAGTGGGCCAGGCCTCCTGGGAGTCTGGACACTAGAGAAACACAGACCCCTCCCCTGCTCCAGGGGACTCTTCCGGCCAGTGAAAGTGTCAATCCTATCACTTTCCCAATGTCTGCTCCTAAATCTGGCAACAAGTAGGCTCCCCCACTCCGATATTCTTTCCCCCAAATTAAAAGGAAAGTTGGGAGAGAAATCACAGGGTTTCTTTTTTTTTTTTTTTTTTTTTCTTTTTCCGTGTCCGGCAACGGATCGCAACCCTCAGTGTTGCCCCCGCACCGGACCGGGGACCGGCAACGGGACCGCAACCCTCGGCGTTGCTCCCGCGCCTCGCTCAGCCAGTGAGCGGAACCGGTCTGTATGTGGGATCCGAACCCTCGGGCGGGAGCGCCGCTGCGCTTCCCAAGTGGCGCACTTATCCAGTGCGCCACCGGGCCAGCCCCCACAGGGTTTCTTTTTAATCACAGGTTTTTTTTGTTGTTTTTTTTTTTAAAGAGAAGAAATTGTTTAACTGCAGTGGCCAGATACAGCCGGCTATTAGCTTTTTGATAAAGTGCTGCTTGTGGAAACTGCTGAATTATGATGATATGTTTTCTGAGCCAAGTGTCTTTTTAAAAAGTGTAGTTTTCCAGTGGAAAAACCAGCGTCCTGAGGTAGGTGCTGCCGAGTGGGCAAGTCTGTCTAAGGAAACTGCCCATCCCCAGCCCTCCCCAGGCACGCTTTGTCGTGGGGCTCCTATAGTGCCACCTCAGGCCACCCAACTAGCAGCGTATGGGACAGGCTGGCCAGCAAGCTGGGAGGGGACCTGGGGCCACAAATTCCCCCCAGATGCAGACAGAGGTAAGGACTTGGTGCTTCCAGCTCCCTCTCTTGGGAATCCCAAGTGGGAAAGGTGACAAATGGCCCAAGGACAGCTGGTCCACACGCTGGCTAATGGCCGGTGGGACGCTCAGGGCAAACACATCTGGGAATCCAAATTGTAAAATACGGAAAGAACTGACCGGGTAAGGAGACACTGAAGTTGGAAAATGGACTAAGATGTCATGAGTGAAGGGCAGCGGCGAGTACGAGTGACTGCGAAGGACAGATACAGCGAGTCTCAGGCTGGCTGCAAACTAGAACCACCTGAGAGATTTAAAAATGCCCACACCTGGGTCCCCGTCAGGAGGCCATGAGGGGAGGAGGGGAGATGGTCGCACAGCGCCAGGTAAGTCATGTGAAAGGCAGACTCTTGACGGGAGCGCCGCAGACTCCTGGGAGCCCTTCAGTCGGGACCACCCCCCTCTCCTCCCTGCCCCCC